ACACACATACTGGTTACCATTTGCAATGGGGACCAAATTTCTGATCATCACTTGCGGGGACCACCCTTTCTAGAGGTTCTAGAGGTATGAAAAAAATCAGGCACACTCACCATTGGTTGGTTAGCTCATACACGACTTCAAATATCTGAATTGATGAAGTAAGGTTTTCATCATGCTAACTGGGGACCTATGTAAAATCCAGTAAACATGTTTGTGGGGGACCTCATTTAAATATAATTTGCATAATTTACACAGATTTCCAATTGATTAATGGGGACCATGGTAAAACAACAAGCTTAAGTGATATAATCCTCAGATTATTGCATTTTACCTGTCTTCTTTTGATCACAAGGTTCACTACAACAATGGCAGTGCATAATATAACCACTTTGTGATTCCTTCGTACTGTAAACTGCTATGAAGCTGCAATGGAGCTGTCCTCTACCAACCAGGTTATGTCTTTAATAATAGATTTTTCATAAAGTTATCAAGCTGCTATCCACAGGCATCAGACCAAATACTAGAATTAAACCACAATAATGCAAATGATATAATCTACTTTAGCAGCACCAAAATTAATGCAGAAAGTGTGTCATTAGGATATTTTCACTAAAGAAAATGTGTATTTTAAGCTTTAAGAACTACTGTGCTCGTGGTTTGTGGTAATATAAGAGGATTCTTAAGTAGGGTTGGATACTGTTGTGAATCACAATTCCACATTGTAAACCAAACTGCACAAAAGTACTGTACATAACACAATAACATTATTTATTCCAGAACCAATATACTTTTTTAGTTTTTATTTATAGCGAAAACAGGGTAAACATACAATTTGTTATACAAATAAAATGGGAATCAAATGATTTACATATCATTTATACTAGAGACATTGTTCTAACTTAATCTTGATATCAGGGGTCACTTAAGTACCAAGAATTTAGTAGTGAATTACTAAATTGTTGTCTCACCCATCAAACTTTTCAACCTTAATTTCACTGTAAGGGTTTTTCTTCGTTTACGTCTCACATGGTTCTTATTTTTAACCACAGTCAACTACCCAGAAACTGTGGAATATTGTACTTCTCAGTCACAGAATACTCAACAACCCTAAAACTAGTATTCATGTTTGTCTGTGTTGTTTGCTGCATTACTTCATAGTAAAAAATAATTTCCTTAGTTCAAGAAGTCAAACTCTCATTTAAATTATACATTTAAACTTTTTATTGAGTCCTGCTCATTTGCGTTCTCTCAAGACAAAACTGAAAGCAACAATACAAACTTGTATAGAGTCGGATACTTCATTTGAATCTTCAACATCTGTGCCTTTCATCTAAGGACAAAAAAGAAGTTACTTAGACATATATCCTTGGAACTGAACACAATCCCAGTGTACTATATTATGACAATACAATTAAAATTGTTTAAAATTCCTACAGTGTTAATCAACCACTTAATTGCAAATGTTATATTATACTTTTCTCACACACTTAAATATTTGGAGTAGTGATGTTAACAAATGGTCCTAAAAACAGCAAAAGTCTAAACACAAGAAAATATTTTGAAACTGAAGTCTGACTTGGTGAATGTTTATACTTCTGAACATAGATAATATTCCTTTGTCTGCAAACACACCGTTTGTGCTGTCACAAAAATATACCTTGAAAATGAATCTGAATAATTAGGACAAATCAAATTTACAACATTTGCGATTTGTAAGTTTAGGCAAAACATTGACTTTTTTTTACGTTTGAAAGACAGCCTTAAAATATAACTACATCTAAAATATTGTAATTGTAAACATAAATATGAAAAACAAGTGTTCAATTTGATGTAATCGCTGCTTAGTATTTATTTACACTACTGCATGTTCTTAATGACAAATTTCTAATGTTAAATTCAAGCCAACAGGCACGAAACTTCAACGACAAAATCATCAAATTCAATATTCCCTCCTCCTCCATCAACCTCTGCCTGTTTTCACACATATTGAATAAACAAGCTTAGTGGGGACATATCACACACCATGTCGTGGTTCCTTATGGGGACCAATGCTAGACCAAGTCTCTAGGTTGTCAGATACTTAACACACAGTTTCTATTCATACACTGATGTAAGATGTGCTATGGGGACGTCGTGAATGTCCCAGAATAGAGTGATATTTTATCAAAAGTAACATCCCTATGAACATTAAAATCTGTCCTGAATATCCTATTACCATTATGTTTCTAGATGCATTTAAAAAAACAGCTTATTTACCTGCTTAAAGGGCATAAAAAGCAACAAACGGTGAGTTAGAAATATTCTAGGAGTAAAGTTTAAGTGCTAAACATGAATGTACCTGTTGATTAGTGTCTCATGGACTCAAAGTTTCAGTCATCTGCGTCTCTAACAAGACAGCATGCTGGGAGCTTTCCACAGGAATGACAGCATCAGCTGCATTCATGGTCATCTGCAAACATTTCAAAATATGAAAAACAAGTTTAAGTCCGATGTTATCACTGCATAATATTTAGTTACACTAATGCATGTTCTTAATGACAAATTTCTAAAGTTAAATTCAAGCCAACAGGCACGAAACTTCAACGACAAAATCATCAAATTCAATATTCCCTCCTCCTCCATCAACCTCTGCCTGTTTTCACACATATTGAATAAACAAGCTTAGTGGGGACATATCACACACCATGTCGTGGTTCCTTATGGGGACCAATGCTAGACCAAGTCTCTAGGTTGTCAGATACTTAACACACAGTTTCTATTCATACAATGATGTAAGATGTGCTATGGGGACGTCGTGAATGTCCCAGAATAGAGTGATATTTTATCAAAAGTAACATCCCTATGAACATTAAAATCTGTCCTGAATATCCTATTACCATTATGTTTCTAGATGCATTTAAAAAAACAGCTTATTTACCTGCTTAAAGGGCATAAAAAGCAACAAACGGTGAGTTAGAAATATTCTAGGAGTAAAGTTTAAGTGCTAAACATGAATGTACCTGTTGATTAGTGTCTCATGGACTCAAAGTTTCAGTCATCTGCGTCTCTAACAAGACAGCATGCTGGGAGCTTTCCACAGGAATGACAGCATCAGCTGCATTCATGGTCATCTGCAAACATTTCAAAATATGAAAAACAAGTTTAAGTCCGATGTTATCACTGCATAATATTTAGTTACACTAATGCATGTTCTTAATGACAAATTTCTAAAGTTAAATTCAAGCCAACAGGCACGAAACTTCAACGACAAAATCATCAAATTCAATATTCCCTCCTCCTCCATCAACCTCTGCCTGTTTTCACACATATTGAATAAACAAGCTTAGTGGGGACATATCACACACCATGTCGTGGTTCCTTATGGGGACCAATGCTAGACCAAGTCTCTAGGTTGTCAGATACTTAACACACAGTTTCTATTCATACACTGATGTAAGATGTGCTATGGGGACGTCGTGAATGTCCCAGAATAGAGTGATATTTTATCAAAAGTAACATCCCTATGAACATTAAAATCTGTCCTGAATATCCTATTACCATTATGTTTCTAGATGCATTTAAAAAAACAGCTTATTTACCTGCTTAAAGGGCATAAAAAGCAACAAACGGTGAGTTAGAAATATTCTAGGAGTAAAGTTTAAGTGCTAAACATGAATGTACCTGTTGATTAGTGTCTCATGGACTCAAAGTTTCAGTCATCTGCGTCTCTAACAAGACAGCATGCTGGGAGCTTTCCACAGGAATGACAGCATCAGCTGCATTCATGGTCATCTGCAAACATTTCAAAATATGAAAAACAAGTTTAAGTCCGATGTTATCACTGCATAATATTTAGTTACACTAATGCATGTTCTTAATGACAAATTTCTAAAGTTAAATTCAAGCCAACAGGCACGAAACTTCAACGACAAAATCATCAAATTCAATATTCCCTCCTCCTCCATCAACCTCTGCCTGTTTTCACACATATTGAATAAACAAGCTTAGTGGGGACATATCACACACCATGTCGTGGTTCCTTATGGGGACCAATGCTAGACCAAGTCTCTAGGTTGTCAGATACTTAACACACAGTTTCTATTCATACAATAATGTAAGATGTGCTATGGGGACGTCGTGAATGTCCCAGAATAGAGTGATATTTTATCAAAAGTAACATCCCTATGAACATTAAAATCTGTCCTGAATATCCTATTACCATTATGTTTCTAGATGCATTTAAAAAAACAGCTTATTTACCTGCTTAAAGGGCATAAAAAGCAACAAACGGTGAGTTAGAAATATTCTAGGAGTAAAGTTTAAGTGCTAAACATGAATGTACCTGTTGATTAGTGTCTCATGGACTCAAAGTTTCAGTCATCTGCGTCTCTAACAAGACAGCATGCTGGGAGCTTTCCACAGGAATGACAGCATCAGCTGCATTCATGGTCATCTGCAAACATTTCAAAATATGAAAAACAAGTTTAAGTCCGATGTTATCACTGCATAATATTTAGTTACACTAATGCATGTTCTTAATGTCAAATTTCTAAAGTTAAGTTCAAGCCAACAGGCACGAAACTTCAACGACAAAATCATCAAATTCAATATTCCCTCCTCCTCCATCAACCTCTGCCTGTTTTCACACATATTGAATAAACAAGCTTAGTGGGGACATATCACACACCATGTCGTGGTTCCTTATGGGGACCAATGCTAGACCAAGTCTCTAGGTTGTCAGATACTTAACACACAGCTTCTATTCATACACTGATGTAAGATGTGCTATGGGGACGTCGTGAATGTCCCAGAATAGAGTGATATTTTATCAAAAGTAACATCCCTATGAACATTAAAATCTGTCCTGAATATCCTATTACCATTATGTTTCTAGATGCATTTAAAAAAACAGCTTATTTACCTGCTTAAAGGGCATAAAAAGCAACAAACGGTGAGTTAGAAATATTCTAGAAGTAAAGTTTAAGTGCTAAACATGAATGTACCTGTTGATTAGTGTCTCATGGACTCAAAGTTTCAGTCATCTGCGTCTCTAACAAGACAGCATGGTGGGAGCTTTCCACAGGAATGACAGCATCAGCTGCATTCATGGTCATCTGCAAACATTTCAAAATATGAAAAACAAGTTTAAGTCCGATGTTATCACTGCATAATATTTAATTACACTAATGTATGTTCTTAATGTCAAATTTCTAAAGTTAAGTTCAAGCCAACAGGCACGAAACTTCAACGACAAAATCATCAAATTCAATATTTCCTCCTCCTCCATCAACCATTAAAATCTGTCCTGAATATCCCATTACCATCAGCTTTCTAGATGCATTACATAAAACTGCTAGGGACTTCTGATTCACAATAGATTACCATCATAACATATGTACAGTTGAAACCAGAAGTTTACATACACTGTATAAAAAGACACATATGCTTTTTTTTCCTCACTGTCTGACATGAAATTAGACAATCACTTTTCCTGTTTTAGGTCCGTTAGGATTACCAAAATTATTTCTATTTGCTAAATGCCAGAATAATGAGAGAAGGATTTTTTTATTACTTTCTTCAAAGTCAGAAGTTTACATACACTAAGATTATTATGCCTTTAAACAATTTGGGAAAGCCCAGATGATGATGTCATGTCTTTGGAAGCTTCTGATTTACTGGTTTATTGACAACATTTGAGTTAATTAGAGACACACACCTGTGGATGTATTGTAAGGCACACCTGAAACGCACTGCTTCTTTGTGTAACATCATGGGAAAGTCTAAAGAAATCAGCCAAGATATCAGGAAGAGAATTGTGGACTTGCACAAGTCTGGTTCATCCTTGGGTGCAATTTCCAGATGCCTGAAGGTGCCACGTTCATCTGTTCAAATAATTATACGCAAGTATAAACACCATGGCAGTGTCTAGCCATCATACCACTCAGGAAGGAGACGGGTTCTGTGTCCCAGAGTTGAACGTGCTTTGGTCCGAAATGTGCATATCAACCCAAGAACAAAAGCAAAAGACCTTGTGAAGATGCTGGCTGAAGCTGGTAAGAGTGTGTCTTTATCCACAGTGAAACTAGTACTGTACCGACATGGGCTGAAAGGTCACTCTGTCAGGAAGAAGCCATTACTCCAAAAGACACATAGGAAAGCCAGATTACAGTTTGCAAATGCACACAGGGACAAAGACCTTAGTTTTTGGAGACATGTCCTGTGGTCTGACGAAACTAAAATCAAACTGTTTGGCCATAATGACCATCGTTAAGTTTGGAGGAAAAAGGGGGAAGCTTGCAAGCCTGAGAACACCATCCCAACTGTGAAATAGAGGGATGGCAGCATCATCTGTTGGTTGATATACACATTTCGGACCAAAGCACGTTCAACTCTGGGACACAGAACCCGTCTCCTGAGCGGTATGATGGCTGGACATTCCCATGGTGTTTATACTTGCGTATAATTGTTTGAACAGATGAACATGGCACCTTCAGGCATCTGGAAATTACACCCAAGGATGAACCAGACTTGTGCAAGTCCACAATTCTCTTCCTGATATCTTGGCTGATTTCTTTTGACTTTCCCATGATATTACACAAAGAAGCAGTGTGTTTCAGGTGTGCCTTAAAATACATCCACAGGTGTGTCTCTAATTAACTCAAATGTTGTCAATAAACCTATCAGAAGCTTCCAAAGACATGACATCATCATCTGGGCTTTCCCAAATTGTTTAAAGGCATAGTATTCTTAGTGTATGTAAACTTCTGACTTTGAAGAAAGTAATAAAAAATTGTCTAAAAAAATCCTTCTCTCATTATTCTGGCATTTAGCAGATAGAAATAATTTTGGTAATCCTAACAGACCTAAAACAGGAAAAGTGATTGTCTGATTTCATGTCCGACAGTGAGAAAAAAAAGCGTATGCGTCTTTTTATAGTGTATGTAAACTTCTGGTTTCAACTGTATACAACACAATCAGTGCCTTCATTTTAACTATGAGCTAAGTGTAAGGAGATTATTATGGTTTAGCATAAGGAGTATAGTTTAGGTGTAATGTAAAATCTTACCACCATGTTCTCCCTCTCCACTTGAATGAAGCATGAATGCAACACATGATGAGTGATAAATGCACCTTCTCCTTTGAGATTCTGCATCATCTATCATGTCTCCTCTGTATTCCAGTACAAAATCTCCTTTGAAGAATGAAGATAGGGCAAATACACCACGTCCTGTAAGACAAAGTAATACATTTTCAAAAAAAACAGGACATTACGAATGTTAATTAGTCTGTGGCAATATGTCCTAAAAACACAATTGCCAATTATTAGTGCATTTGATGGCAGCTTTATTGACCTAAGCTTATCTAATGCATCCTGAAGTTTTGCAATTAAATGTCTCAAAATCATTTTCAATATGTATATGAAGTGAACATGCTGAAGGGCATCCTTAAGAGGACTGACCTTGGTGGCATTTAAAACTGCAGAGAAATGTTTAATGAGACAGCTTTGGCTTTAGTTCTATTACAATACAATTAGAGGCTCTAAGTGAACATCCACACAGGTGTTTTCAGTTATTATGGCTGATTAGACCTCTGCTCAGGTTTAGGGTGGGCTTAAGCTTTGATGAAACTCCATGAGGTCACAAATCTAAATCTCCAATACGAATGGTGAAGGTATATTTTGTCCTGCCCTAACAGGTGTAACAAAGCTGACAGAAGACTCAGGAAGATGTCAATCAATCACAGTATACACACCCATACAGTCCCAAGAAGACTAATAATCAGCAAGATAAACTGAAAAAACTGTGTGGGTGTTCAGAGGCTTAGCTCTATAACTTTTTTCCCCATACTCGCCCTTTCCTGTCGGCTCAGTGTCAGATGCCTTCCCTTCTTGCCATGCCCTATTCTAAATTATTCATTTTTAATAATAAAATAATATTAATAATTATAAGTAAGCTAAGTTTACTTTTTTCTGGTAGTAAAATCAATCAGGACCCATTTATGTAGAGGAGGCATGTGGAATCACTTCACTAGTCACTTTAAAGATACAAACATCAAATTGCAGCCTTGTCAAGCTCAGGTCCCAAAAATACCTGTCCAGATGCACTTTCTCTTAACATGGACAGCTTGCTTTAAATCATCAAAACATCTCTTTACAATTTTTCTATAATATATCTCACCTATATTTACCTAGGATTAAGTTACACCTCTATATATTACTAAATTCATTACCTGGAAATGTATTTTAAATTTCTCTGTTACACACTGAAAAATATTTCACTTTTTTTAGTTGGTATAAACTCCTAGAAATGCACAGAATCCATCCATCATGTAACAACTAACAGTAGCTTTCAGGGAAAGCTAAAAACATTGTTAGTAAAACATTGTAAATTTGCTAGTTACACTAGCCTTCTGTTGCTAATTAAAGCTAACTAGCTATCCTACTAACTAATTAACACTAATTAACCTCATTAGTGGTTTAAAATGGTCATCTATACAAATAATGATTATAGCAAGTAAGTAAATAAGATAATATTGCTTACCTTGTGGTGTTGTAGTTCCTCTTTTTATGTGACAAACATCTTTAATTGAAGGGCCTTTGCGATGCTCCCTTTAAACACTGAAAATTGTGTTTGCTCCTAAAATCCTTCTTAATGGGGACCAGGAAGTGGGCGGTAACATACCATATTTGGAAGATCTGTGTGTGTGGAACGGTGAGTGCCTTACCAGCTCATACAGTAAGGGGGCGCAAGCATGCCCCGTTCACACACACACACTAACTGGAAAACATGCCCAATGGGCCAAAGCTAAAAACCACACAGGCACCTTCAGATAGACTCCTGCATTCATTTAAAAGAGTTTCCCTTTAGGGGACCTCATTTTTCGTCCCCATACTGTTAGAGGTCCCCATGACGTGACTGTGTAAACAGTTTGTTGTCCCCAGGACGTGATGAATGCCAACACACACACACACACACACACACACACACACACACACACACACACAGACACACGCACACACCCCACACACACTTTAGTAAGCCTTAACCATCAACCAAGTTAGAGCCTACAATTTACAGCTATCCTCTTCATCTCTCTGCACAGCTCTGTCTTCCTGTTTAATATTTAATGGCTGCCAGGCCATTGTTTTCTTGGTTTCCATTTTTTTCTTCTTTTACTGTTTTACAGTTATTCTTCTCAGCCTTTTATCCTCTCACAAAGTTAGGACCCTTGAGAGATTGCTAGATCTTGTCTGTGTATAGTTTGTGTGAATGTGTGCATGCATGCAAGAGAGATTTATTTTTGGCTTTATTTGCTGTATCAGGGCTTGTCTTGAGCAAACTCCACTGTGTGGTAGCTCTAATCAGTGTCGTGGGAGGTGACAATTAAAATATGACGGTTCCATGCAGACATTTTCAGTGTTCATTAGCCTTTAGTGTGACATTATGAACAAATTAAGAATACCAATAAGGCTGCAACACTTACCTAAGACTGGAAGTGGGTTGTTTATTGTGTCATCTGATGATCTGATGATGCTTTCATTCTAAAATTGACTTGATATGACATTATCTTCACATTTTACAATACACACTCAAAATACACAATAAACAAGTAAACTTTCTAAAACAACACACTACTTTTTAAAATATTCTCTATCCTCCTGCACACACTTTTTTCCTGTAGGTAAGGTATTAGTATTCACTTCGCTACATACCTTGCTTTAAATAGCTTGATCGATTGGCACTCTGTGTTCACAGACAATTGTAAGTATCCTAGAGGTTTACCAAACATGATGAATGCATTTCCTTGCTCATAGAAATATTTGAAAAGTGGTCCTTTAGAAATCGTGAAACCTGCACTGTTAATTAGTAGAGTAGTATAAAATGTCTGGTGTATACATGTCCCCTTGTGCAGTATGCTCTCATAAGCTGGCTCCTAGGCCATGACAAATACATAGGAGGACACAGTAGATGGTGATAAATTAGTGAATTGTGAAATGAGTAAATCAACCAAACGTAAAACCAAACAGAAATCAAGCAAAAGCTAAGAATGTATTGCTGCTGGCTACATTTCAGGTTAACACAAGCATTATGGCAAGGAAACAATGATTTAAAAAGACCAGCTGACAGACCAACATTGTCATTCCTATAGAGCCAAACTAAAAATCACATTCTCATCACAACTTTTCTAACTGCAGAGTGCAAAGTTACTCTTACAAACCACTCCTAGCACAGAGAAAAAGGGACATCAAGGTTAGACCTTTACATTAAACACATTTCAGTCAGCCAACTCACGTTTGATATATTAATTAAAAAAAGGGGACCCCCTTTAGTTCATATTGTTGAAAAGAATAAAATGGGAACAAATCTGTGTTTGTCAGAATTGCAGAAAGCATTAATGATGACACTGCAACAACATTGTGGCTGCATTAATTCAGTACTTGTGAATGAGCTCTTTTACTAACAAAAGGTAGAACATTCTTGTGAAATGAGCATGTAGCCTGTGGAGTTTTAATTGTACATTCAGCATTTCCCACCATTGTGTCCTTAGTGTCTAACAAACATTTCCTGCCTCTATGTTCAATTTGTGCTACTGTCGAATCAATTGCAGTTATATTGTCCCTAGGAAGGCAATTAATTTCACATAATATTGTCCCTAGGAAGGCAATTAATTTCACATAATATTTCACGTAATCCAATTTGTGGTTTAGTCTCCTAAATCTTCATACACATTTCACAAAACCTTACCAGGCTGTGTTCTAACAGAAGTAGCAGACATAAATGCCTCAGATGGTTTCTGCTCTTTTTTTTTTTTTGCCTTCGAGCAGCTTTGGGCCTCTGGAGTCACAACTTTAAAAGCTGGCTTGAAATCAGCTGACCTGATATGATGCCACAAAACATCCCTTATCAAATCCTATTTTTAACACACTGGCTCCTGCAAAGCAGGGATCAGTGGCCTCCAAGGCTGATGACACTGAGCTTCATCCAGGAGTGAAGGCCATGCCGGCTGCTACAGATAACTAGGAGGCAGCTGTGCCTTTTCTGTCCTCTGGGCTTATTGTCGCCTTATACACCAGAGATACGGCCTTTGATTTTACTACAAAGCATAGTGCCACAGCTCAGCCTTCATATGTGGTTGCTAGATTTAACTAGTTGTCAACCAGGTTTTAGGTCATTAAAGTTACATTTAAGAAAATGTGATATTTTTTTTGCATCTGTGATTTTATCATAAAAATCCGCTGCACATCATACACAAGAAGTATGCAGCCCTGCAGGAGTCACAACTCTGATTCTGGAACTGTATTTATATTCAAATTGGATTTTTGAATGGCATTGGTTGAGACTGATGGCTAATAGTTACTTTGATTGATCAGTTTTTAGGCTCACTATAACATTTTGCAGTATGAGTTCGACTTTAGCAGTAGCTAGCTCGTCAGTTCATCATTTCATGTTGTACTCTGATTGGATTTTAAACTTCTTTTGATACCAATGCCTTTGATCAATGGACCACCGCTTTTGATTGATGAAAAAGAAAAAGAAAGAAAATATCAGGACATTTCTCTCACTTTTGTCAATTTTTTGTTTTAAATTGCCCAAAATGGTTGGTTGCTTAATGTCTGTGTCCATTTTAGATGTTTTTTCTGCCCTTTCTGGCAGCATTTTTTCTTGTTTGTGTTTGCTTCAACAACAATAAATATAAGCTTTTGTGAGATTTTTGTTTAATTTTTGGGAATTTATGACCATTTTGACCCACTTAGAGGTATAGTGTGTAGGATGTAGTGGCATTTAGTGGTATAGTTACAGATCGCAACTCCCTTGCATCACCTTCCACTTCCAATATTGAAGGAGAAACTGTGGAGGCAAGGCAAATGTCCCTTTCTACAGCCAGTGTTTTGTGTTTGTCCATTCTGGGCAACTGTAGAAACACTGCGGTTCAAAATGGCAGACTCAATGAAAGTCGACCCATGGTATCTGTAGATATAAGTGTCTCATACTAAGGTAACAAAAACATAATGATTCCTATATTCAGATGGTTATACACTAATGAAAACAAGGCTATGAATATTATATTCAATTTCTGCCAATAGATCATCCTAAATGTTACACACTGGACCTTTAATAGTATAGTCTTCTGCAGATGATATTGCTGTTTTAAACTCAATAACTGCAAGTGTACAGGATAGAATAGCCCAAAAAAGTAGTGCTCCCCCTGGGCACATGCTTAAAATAGGTCAGGACACCAAAGTATTGCTTTCTAGTACATTTGAAGAAAGGGGATTTCAGCATTAGATAGTAACTGAACACTTTGCTGGAACTGACTTCTAGTTGAGTGTGTCAAGTCTCTTCCATCACTCCCACCGTCACTGCTGTGGTGGCTAGAGGCTGAGGCTGCACACACTAGTGGATTTAAGAGTTTGTGCCAGCTGGGTGCTAAAACTAACATTGCTTTACATTTAGACAAATAAAGTTGGCACTGCATTTGGCGAATTTGAATTCTTAAGTACCTCCTATGCAGCCTGAATGGAGTGCTTCTATAACCTAAAAATAGGCCAATTGCCTTGTCCCTAGTGTATTGTATCTGGGGCTGTTTAACAAGGGCTCCCATAAGGCCTTCTCTCCAATCCTTCTCTCTGTTCTTTTATCTTCTGCTCTCACAGTCTTATACCTGCATTACATATTTCCCCTTCCCTCCCTCTCCTTTGTCCAGTCTGTCTCTCTTTTGTGGTGACTGTAATGCCAATCCCATGATGCGTTTCCTTAGTCTCCTTACATTCCATCTGTGCTATAAAATCTGCCAACGATTATTGTAAGGTTGTCCCTGTTGGCCCTCTACTTCCCACCCTAATTACCTCCTTAAATCTCATCCTACATTTCCCTCCTTTCTTCCCTCCCTCCCTTCTTATCTTATCTTTTCACTCCACATAGCTCCCTCCTGCCTCCTTCTGGCTATCCCATTCTGCCCTCTCATTTTCTCTGTAATACATATAGATTATAGCTTAATATACACACAAACACACACAGACAGTAAAGAGAAGAGAGTGAATATATTGTTCTGCCCCACTTCTGGGGTACTTCCATCCATCTTGGTTGTGCATGAGGACTTGCACGAGTTTGTGTTTTTCTAACATTTAAATAAAAAGGTATCTTAATTAAGCCTGATGTCCTTTCAACTCCACAATAACCCAGAGAAATTATGTCAAAATTATGGAGGACACAAAGACACAAAGATACAGAGAAAATGGATGTACTAAAAGTTTTAGGGGATTTAGGATAATGTGTGCTTTGCCAATTATGGCATCAACAGGATATGAGGTTGTGTAAATATTACTGTGGAGAAAACTGAATCCTCTGTGGGTGGAGCTGGTGAGGGAATACTTGGGGGAATAAGCTGTCTAATCCTTTTAAATTTGACTTTTGTCACTTCTGTGTCTTCTGTCTGCCTTTGGTTACTCTGTCGCTCTCTGCGTTTGTTAATGGTTGAGGTAAGGGCAAGTATCGCTTTTTGCTGAGCCTGTAGCATTTGGTCCAGATGGCCACATGTTGCAGTAACATTATAAACTAGCTAGTAATTGTAAAGTTACTGATCCTAAATATTTCTATCTTTATCCTTTTTACATTGCCACCTATTTTTGATTAATCGTTTGAAAATGTATGTTGCACAGCCGATAACTAATGTTAAACCTCTCAAATCTTTAAATTCAATTTTAGTCCAGATCCAATTTTGGATGTTTTGGTTCTTCCATAATAGATTTGATATTTACAGTTTTCTTTACTTTTTTCAGCTTTGTTCGCCTTGTTCTTATCTCTAATTAGCTTAGCAGGTCCTACTTTGAGAGTAATGGAAAAACTGGAGTCAATTACAATTTAAGGTAAGATCATTTCTTTTAACCATGTCTATAATCTTTTTGTAACCATAACCAAGTAGTTTTACTTCCCTATCAAACCATAAACATATATGTGGCACAGCACATATTAGGGGGCACCCTACCAACAGGGACACCAGATCATATGATTC